AATGTAACTATGGGTAAATACAAATACATGCTCTGTGTAATAAGACAATACACTTGGGCAAAAGAAAACACACAATGAAGTTGAATTTCATTTTGTTAAATAAATAAAATAAATAAATGCCCTTTATATGAATTGAGCTTTGTACAATGTTTGTATACAAAAGTGTTCCAAATATGGGATACTTCTTGTATACAAAAGTACATTTTTTGTACACTATTTGCATAGTATTTGCATACTTTTTGTATACAAATCTGTCCCAAATATAGGGTACTTCTTGTATACAAAAATCATACATAAAATGTACAAATTTATTCAGAATTTGTATACTTTTTGCACACAAAAAGTATACATTTTGTCTAATGAATTTTGGTAAGGGGCATGGGCACGACTTACACTAATTACCGACTCCTTCGATACCTCCCAATCACCTTGGTAACATCTCAGTTTGTATTCGTTGATCTGCGGAACAGTCAAAGTATCATCATTGTTTATATGAGACCCATATATCTCGTGCATGCGTGGCGTGATGACCACCGCCCTTTAAAGCCAGTTCAGCAGTATACATGTATACACACAACAAACGTATATAGTAATAGAGGGCGCACTACTCAATAGAATTTAAATGTCATTTACATTTTGTTTTCAATGTTTTCACTGTAATTAGTGCAACACGTAGTGTGTAACAACATAATCTAAACTATAGACCATGAAGAAGATATCCTTAGTCGCAGTGTATCAAAGAATAATTGCATTCAAATAGTGTTTTATTTATGATTTCAGGAGCATATCAACTGAAGTTTTTGAGTGTACTGCCCTAGTGAAGTGCCGCTGGGAACGTAGACAGTGCTCCCTCAAACGAAGCGGGATAATCTGCCCCTTGTAAACGTCATACTCGACCAGTTCCAAAAGACTTGCATTTTATGCTTTCGTCTATCACCATAGTCGTGTCTCAAATATGGTACGCTTTCACTTGTTTTTGTTTACTGGTCAATGGTGATTATTGTTATGCAAATAGTTTTACGGTTCGAAGGCGAGGCAGTAGATCGCTGTCTACGGTCTGCTAAGATTTCCGCCCGTGACTTGTTTACGGTGAAACATCGTGGCTTCATTCACGGCTCAATTTAGGGTAGAGTTATTTGGCAACGTAATGTAACAAACACAGTACTTACAAACAAGACAGTCGCAGTGTTTAGACGTTGATCTTATGAAAAGTATTTACCAAAACTGTTACGGGTCCACACATCACCCACTAAGTTCCATTGAATGCAAAATCGACCACGCCACCAGGGTCGCGTTTGTCAACAAATAGACACAACTATTCTTTGCACGGGTAAATTTACGTTGAACGAAAATGCCCGGAGCGCTGTCAGATAAAAATAAAAATCACATTTTAGCATAAGTTGTGATTAATAAAGAAGTCAAAAATTACGCGTATTGTAGATAGTATCACGAAATTTGTTTTAAGCGTAACAAATCACAGTATAACACAGTCCGCCCACCCACATTGTAATAGTTCCGTCAAAATAAATGCCTGCCTGGGCACTGGCGAGGAAAGTTGCGTGCATGCTCGCGTCATGTATGAGTAATTTTGTTATATATATTGTTAATTCTGTTGATCGAGTGAATACTGGAAAACAATTTCCTTATCTTTTTATACTTTGTTATTTTGTACTTTTTTTATTTGCTAAAGCATTTCTATGGTCGTGGTCAGCCATCGGGATCTAACACCGACTGGCAGTATATAAATAGTGAATACAAACATTAAACGAAATAATGTATATATTATAACATCAAATAGAGAAAAAATATATAGCCATCATGACGAGACGGTGAAAGTGAAGCTCATTCGGTGAATATCGCGCATTAAAAACCTGGAAGGTCCGATGCTTGTCCAGCAAATGAACTGAAACTTACATTTTCAAATCAGTGAATAGTGGTTGAACCCGGCCGTGGTCGAACCATGGAAATAAAAAAGAATCTTTCCTCCATGGTTGAACCATGACGTAGCAAAGTGCACCAACGGGATCACATGTCAGTTATCCAGATCTAGATGAAAAACATTGAAAAGCTTATATCGCGATATGCTCTTTGTGCTGAACTAAAAAATCATCAATATCTTGCAAACACAGTAAGGAAGGTCGGCAAGGGATATGTTCGTGAACTGTAAACAATTGTTTTTTTATTTTTGTATTAATGTAATTTAAATAAATAAAAAAAAATGTAAATTCGTAGACATGGGCAATGTGTAAAATGTACTCAGCTATTTTATTCGTTTTCTAAATTAAATGTGTCGTATTTCGTACGCAATTTCCAATTTTAAACCAAATTATCAAAAATATCATAAAAATGTAAAATGTAATTAGGATTTGCTTTATCTGTAAAATGTAAAAACCTAATTTTTACTATAATGGAACTTTCATTTTATTTCCTGTAAAAACGTAAAATGTCGTTTTTATTTCCTGTAACCTGTACCAACTATCCCCCTTGCTCCCAGTAAGTATACTCCTTCGTTCAACTACGGTAATCAAGGGCATGCTGCGATTTAAAAACAAAAGAATCGAAATTAAACAGTTATTCAAGTTGTTGAGGGAGTATCACGATGTAAGTTACGCTGGGGGCGCTTTTACATTTGTAACACCCTTTCCGCAAATGATGGTATATACCAGAGGGACTGTGTATATACTATAGGGAGAGTACATGGGCATGGTTTTGTTGTTCTCTGATCATTCGTTAGGTAGTTTGATATATCATGGCAGCCGAAGCAGACAGGTAGGCTAGTAAATATTTAATGGAACCCAGAAAGGGACTCGTATTGGCTCGGAATGCACAATTACAGTCCCTTGATAGAAGGCGCCTGTGGCACCGGGCCATCGACGGGCATTCAGAATCTAATAGTAACACATAAACCTCAGGATCTCCACACACACGTTTTAATGACTACCACACGACGGACATATGTTGAACATCATCTTCTAAACAAATATGAAACTATCAGTGAATCGGTTACTCGATTCATAGCAGAATGACCGTGATCGCTTGTTTGTCGGGCGTGTATGACCCCTGTTGACCTTTGGCTATATATCCAAGTTAGAAATGTTTACGCTTGATAGGGTTGAAATAAAGTCTAGTACCTACTGCTGACCATCGGGTTATGCTTTGCAAAATAGTTGTAAGGTTTGATGGTTATGCCATCACATAACATATCAAATGACAAAGATGACATTTCTGTTTTTATATAGTGTGTAAATATTAAGATTCAGAATCGAATAAACATAAATGTAGTGGCTTCATACCGTTTTTTTTTTAAATACCGTTTAATAAGAACACCATATACAATGTGTTGATGTGATATATATATATATAAGGTCAACAAGGGCCATTCTGGTTTGCATTTTGGCTGTTTTGAACTTGAAGGGGGT